AATTGACTTGTAGGGCACTCATGACTAGCATAGAGGACCTCTATAAATAGAAAAGAAACAAAGACCTATAGGTCAGAGGTTTTTTTATTGTCACATTCTATTCTCCTCTCCTCTTCTTCTCCTCAAATAGTATGTATGGAGATTTATATAGTGATTCGAAGAGCATCATCGCAACCTTGTTGTGTAAATCACCGATAGAGAGGAGGGTGTTTGACCTCCTTCATCCTCTCCAACAGATCTATAGTGATTCAATGATATACGGTTTCTCTAGATAAAACACATCTATCTCACACGTGAATTTAAGTTTCGCGAGTTTTTTGTGCACTAATCTTCGCACGCCGATGAACACCTTTTTGAAAAAATTAAAAGTTTTTTATGTTTTTTTGCTGCGCATGTGATGTCACTCATAGATTTTCCTACATTTGTTACTCATGAATTATTATATATAACTATGATTGATATATGATAAAATAATAAAAATATTTAAATAATAAGAATATGTAATAGAAGATATAGATGACAATTAGTACTAATAATGCAAGAGGTGATAGAAGGATTATAAAATTTAAAACTAATATAAAAATTGAATATCATAAAATTAATTATGGATATTATTTTATACACTTTTTAACATTTACAAATGAAATTTGTGTAATAACCTACCTAAGATATTGTGGTGTGTTATTGTTGTTGTATTTATAATTTTAATAAATCAATTTAATTATTATTTTATTTTCTTAAAAATGTATTCTTCCCTTTTTGTTGGGTTTATACGATCTGATATCACATTTCTCTTTGGCATTTTTGTTAGACAATAAGAGCATATAAAAAATATATATATTTAAAATAATAAATAATGCTTTGGTTTTTCTAAATTGTTATTTTATATCTTCGAAATTATTTTCTTTATGTTGGATTTGTTGGCCAATCGTCTGATATGGGATTAATTACTTAGCATTTTATGTTTGATATACAAACAAACAAAAAAGAAATTAAACGTCGCCTGAGAGATTCGAACTCTCGCGGGGAAACCCCATGCACTTAGCAGGCACACGCCTTAACCACTCGGCCAAAGCGACATTTTTGATTAGGTTCGTTGAGTATATTATTTAATATATTTAATACTGGTATATAATTTATTACGACACGCTCACCCGCTTCAACATGTGGACCCTACTGAAGTTCTCAATTGCATGAGATCCCCAAAATCTCATGCAGATACACTGCAGCTTTTGTTTTCTCTAAAATAATAAATAATTACTTTGGTTTTTCTAAAATAACAAATAATTACTTGGCATTTTTGTTTGATATACAAGAAAACAATAAATAAAGGAGTTAAAAACCGTCGCCTGAGAGATTCGAACTCTCGCGGGGAAACCCCATGTACTTAGCAGGCACACGCCTTAACCACTCGGCCAAAGCGACGTTTTTGATTACGGTCGTTGAATATTTTATTTAATATAATATATTACATCTACACTACCCCACTTCGAGTGGACCCTACTGAAGTTCTCAATTGCATGAGATCCCCAAAATCTGGACCCACCAGTGGCCCTCTCTCTCTCTCTCTCTCTCCTGCCTCTGGTCTTCTCTGGCCTCTTTCATGGGAGGCCAGAGAACAGATATTTATACAGATGATGTATTAACTTCTCAAACCTACTGCCTCCTAATACAATCTTACCACAATGTTTTTCTATTTCCACTGATCCAGGACAAACTTTTAACTAATTGAATTCCAATATCTCTTAGTATTCATCTCAAGCTCTCTATCATATCTTCCTTCAAATTAGAGTTTTGACTTTAACTAATTAATTTATATGTTTTTAGTCACATATTGTTTCCAAATGTTTTTTTTTTATCCAACAAGTAATTGGTGTTCAATTAAAGAATTCAAAATTAGTTACCAATCCATCAATTATCAATTATAATAATTCAAGCTGAACCTGAGAGTGGTATTGAGCTATAAATTACAAGACTTGTTCATCACAAAAGAATATGTGAAGTGGGGAAGGAAATGAAACTTGGTGGTTGGGTTTCAGTGTTCATCTCTCTAAATATCTAGAATATATCTCTGATGCAGTACCTCTGAAAGAAACAGATCACACAATAATGTGGATTATGGTGATGAGATATGGCATCCATTTCTAAGGAAATAAAAACAATTGAGGTGTTGAAATAATTATATTTTTGTCAGTCCTAAGAAAGGTACTGAAAATAGTTTATACATAATTTACATGATTCAGCATCCTTTATTCATATTCATGAAGAGAACCTTAAGTTCTTAGCTATATGAGAAAAATGAAAATATAATGTAGAATAATTTTAATTAACTTAGATGTAGTATGTGACATACTTTTAAATACTCATACTGTATCAAGTTTAACACTAAGGATTGATGTAAATGATTAGAGGGACTACAATACTTGAAAGATTTCTGAGACTGATATATAAAAATTACTATCATTGCGAAAAGTATCAATTTTCTAATTTAAGGTAAAAGAAAATGGTTTTTCTTTCCAAACCATAAGCCTGAAACTGTTCCTGTATCAAAATGATAACAATAATTCAAGCACTGTGTAAATATTTTGGTGATCAGTCTGCACAATAAAATTAATTCAAGCACTCCATAGAATAATTGAACTTGCCCAAAGGCATAACTTAGAGATCTCCAAACCAGTGCATGAAAATAGTTCTAACACTACAAAAGCTGCAGTGTATCTGCAAACTTTTGTTGCAGTCACTGACTTGTCTTCCTCATCTTTTGCTACCCAGATGTAAATTAGCTTTCAGCACCCAACTCTCTCTCTCTCTCTCTCTCTCTCTCTCTATATGTGTGTGTGTGT